TGAGTGAGTGAGTGAGTGAGAGTGACACGTGTAGTGAATCGTGACTTTTGGACATGTGGCTCGTTTGCAGATTTCGTGGCAGGCACAGCACTGTGCGAACCTCGATGTGCAGATCTCGTGGCAGCCACAGCAGTTTGTGAACCTCGACGCGCAGATTTCGTGGCAGGCACAGCACTTGCTGAACCTCGAAGTGGAGATTTCGTGGCCGAAGTGGAGATTTCGTGGCAGGCGCAGTGCTTTGTGAACCCCGAAGTGCAGATTTCAGCGCAACCGCCGCACTTTGTGCTCTCAGATGCTCACCCTCACTCTCACTCACACTCACACTCACATTCACACTCACCCACACTCACTCTCACTCTCCCTCTCGCTCTCGCTCACACTCACTCACTCTCCCACTCTCACTTTCACTCACTCTCCCACTCTCACTCGCACTCACTCTCACTCCCACTCTCACTCTCACACTCCCACACACACTCACTCACACCCACTTTCACTCTCACTCACACTCACACTCTCCCTCTCACTCACACTCACTCACCCACACTCACTCTCACTCACACTCGCTCTCACTCTCACTCACACTCCCACTCACACACTCACACTCACTCACTCTCCCACTCTCACTCACACTCACAGCGCAGTCGTTAGAAGCACCCGCAAGGGGCAACCAGACTTTGTGAGCCTGCACAGTCGTAATGCACATTGACGATGTCGAGAGGCATGAATCTACTGTAAATAGCAACGAATTAGCCAGACACGGCCGCGCGCTTCAGCGATCTAAGCATCAGCTGCTTTTCTACTACCGTAAGAACCCCTGTGTGTCCACACTATTTGGGGAAATATCGTGTTTCTTGTACTCATTACTGTTTGCGAGAAGGAAATGAATATTCTCCAAAAGCAAGGAAAAATTAAGCAAGATTGAAGGGGACACTTGGAAACTTGGGGGCTTCCTTGTTGGTATATACCTCCTTTCGGGGAGTACTGGAAATTAAACGGTGGGAAGTTGGATTCAGTAGTTAAAACTGGTGACTAGTGTCATTGTTGTGGGTCAATGAACGTGTACCGATTCAGACCCGGGAGGAGTGAATGATCCCTGAACACACTCACGCTTTCAAGTTCACTCCGGCCCAAAACTGCCACGCATGGAGACTAGTTGTCCTTAGGTGGGCTGAATTCGGTCATCACTAGAAACTAGTGCAACATGTCAACGACGTAAGTGGTCTTCACATCAGTGTTTGTTTCCTTTCACACTTGTTCCACAGGATTGTTGATGTCCAAACTTATTCCCCCTCATGGACCTACACGAACTCCCAAGAACCTATCGTATTCACAGGCAGCAAATATGAGAAATGTAGGCCCGTGTTGAAGCCCCACCACAAAAAATAATAGACCTTTTTCTATATATACACAGTGTTCTGTTTGTGGCCTAGGGGCACTTGTTTCTATTTATATATATTTACAGGGATCCTCTTCCAACCAGAGCATCATGTTTTTGCAAGACATCTTCCAATTAGAGCGAAACCGAGCTACCATACTTTGCTGCGTGAAAGAACCCTGCGTACCGTAAGTGAGTCTTTTAGTCAATATGTCTATAAGCTATTGTTATGTGCATCTACATTCTGTTGCACTCATCTTTGTAGAAAGCAGGTGTCAGTTGCTGCCAAATGGGTGCGTTCACAAAGAACGCAAGTTGATTCAAGGATCCCTCTTCAGATAGAAGAATCCATCTCAGTCAATTTTGCACCAGTCATTCTAAACTTTTGTGAAGCTGCCAGCGTCAAGGGATCGCATTGCACACAAAAGACAAGAAGAAATTGGTGGCATCTGGGGAGATACTTGTATGTAACAAAGGAACTAATGAAGAAGGAAACCTCAAAGAGCTGATGCAAGGTTGAGAAGTATCTACTGGCACTAGACCCAAGGACGCTAATCATTCTAGACCTACCATCTTGGAAAGCTCGTAATACTGATGCCTGTGAAAGCTCGCTTCCAAGGTACCCAAGGGCAATGAATGTACTCTGTGGGCAAGTGCCGCAGCTCTGGCAGCCATCTTCGCACATAGTGACCCGCTGGATCCACCTGCACATGCTGAGACAGAACTGAGAAAAAGTAATTCCTTCCAATGTTCTCACCCAACCTCTTATGACATGTTGTCCTAGCTTCCCTTACTTTCCTGCTTCTATATTCACATCCTTCTCCTCTCTTCCCTTTCTTCCCTTCTTCTTTTCATGCCTGCCTACCATCTAACTTCCGTTTCTCCGTTTTTAGTCATCGTCGTCATCCTTAGTCTTCAGTGGCTCAATCACCGCAACCACCGCAACGTCAACCGCAAGGATGTGGGGTCCACACACAAATGTGTGTATCGGATATCGTATTGTATCGTACTCCAAATTGAATTCAGTGCTTGCTTCCGCTCCTTTTCGCAACGTTAATCAAGTCTATCCATACTCTGCAACTTCATCCATGTATTCCGATCACCACTCAATTCCATGGCTGACAAAAGTCCACGTCTGCAACATCGACCGACTTTTTGAAGGCTATTCTTGAATAAAGACCTTCTTGCCGGCGAAAACAGGATGCATGACAAAGTTCCAGGATCCGATGCCAGAGTGACCACCTCAGGAGCAAATTAGCATCTTTTTTCATAAACATATGTATATATATATGTATACAGTGCTGCAAAAATAAACAAACAATGCACTAATAACACAAATGCAAATGAGA